TTGGATTAGAGTCTTACAAATGGGGTTTTGAAAAGCCTTCATTTCTCCTCCTAAAACTAATGTCAGTCTGTACATAAGTGCGCCTTCTATACAAGAAAATAGGTATATATTACATGTGTTCGGTTAATCTGGTTATGACACTGGAAAAGAAAGCTTACACAGAGCGAGTATAAGAAGCTACTGGAAAAACTGAGCTGTGAAAATGTTACCTACATGTACACCGTACGGAGTACACCTTCCTGCGAGTAATCGTATCACAGGTGACCGATCACAGCGGCCGCGCGGTCTAAGGCATGAACTGCCTTCGCTCTCTCGGACGCTGGGATCGTGGGTTCGAATCCTACTCAAGGCATGGATGTATGTGTGCGTTTATTGTGTTTTTGTTGTTGTTGTTCTGTGTGTAGGCAACGACCTTGCGACGGACTAATCCCTTGTCCGAAGTCCAACAAAAGGACTGTAGAGCCGTAGATGAATACATGTATGCCAAGTCTCCCATTTGGTCCCTCCTCCTTACGGTGTTTCGAACTAAATGTACTACTAGAAGTATGCATGTTTCCCATGAATGCTGCTCTCATCCGTCTTTGATGTTATCACAATACTGCATGCCTGTTAAAAATAGCTCAAATCCGCGTTCAAATCAGAATGTGTTTGTTTCGTTCCATAGCAAATCGGAAAGCCTTTTGATAAGACGAGTTTCCGGGTTTGTTAATGTGATCTCTTTAAAACAGTCATGAAGTGCGGTTAAGGGGCAATGGATCTCCTTAAACGTCGGTATCTCGTTTTCTTGACACAATGTTAGGCAGTGATCAACACGGAAACTTCATATGCCATAAAATGAGCCAAATTTGATGAACTCCGGCATAGGGACATCTCCCATATACTTTTAGTAAGAGGGGGTATGAGAATGACGCAACGCAGTACATAACTTGAAGCAGCATCGCGAAGTATTGATCCCACCGCCGGGACTTGCTTCTACCAGCATCCTGTGTCTAAGTTACATGACGAGAAGTGGCTCACATAATGTATGACATTTGATATACAAGATTTAGAAATGAAAATTCTGAATATTTGAAGTTGTCATGGCGGTGGAGTCCTACAAAAGTCAACCGACGGTTCGGAAGAACAGATCGCCTCCATCTTCAGGGTCGAGTAATAAGCCGGGGAATAAACCATCGTGAAAGCAGGTGGCGCGCTGCTTTCTTGTTCGGCCTATTCTTCGATCCTTAAGATCGAAGCGATATGTTCCTCCGAAACGTCGATCCAATATCAACGGACTACACAGCGTTATTACATCCCAGAAGATTCGCAGATGGAGATAAAGCATGTCCGCTTAAAGAATTAAAATACTGCAAACGTACCTACATTTCTCAGTGTGACGAAGTTCCTCATTCATATGCATTAAGAGGGGTAATCTATGTGCATACTGACCACGCGACACCCTGTCCGCTGAAGTTGGCACTAACTTCGGCGACAAGCGGCGGTCGCTCGTTCGGTATACTTCGCTTGCGGACTAATGCCACGGAGTTTAGTTTTTAGTTAATCTATGTGGATAATATTCACGAATTAACCTCGGCATTAGTAACAGCCGAATGGTCTACTTCACACTACGACCATTTCCCCCCCAAGGGAAGATCTTCCACATACGGTTCGTGGCGCCTATAGCCGGAAATCATAACTCTGTATATTGTAATAAATACACCACGAAATTATCTCGGCTTAACAGCCGTGTTTTTTGGGACTATCTCTGGGCTCTGTCGTGACACTGTATCCAACCCGCTCCAACCAAATACAACGGGGCTATGAGCTGGTTTGTATCCAGCGTCGCGTCGGATTCCGATGGTGGAGACGGGGCGGCTCCCTGAAATGTTCTTCATTTTTAAACCAACCAACATGGCTACCAGCCCTAGGATATTTCATTAATTTTAGCTCTGGTGCATGCTGATGTTTCACGTGTAAATATTACGGCACCAAAGGTCACACAGCTGGATGGTAGCAAATATTTCCAAAGCTTCACAGCCACCGCCGTCAGAACAACAGCACCTTTTCTATTCATATCATGCATATGTTCCCACCCTCTTGTCATCTCTACCTCAATCTGTGGAGCCTAACGTTCCGCAACTGTCATGGGAAGGTCTCAGGGTCGCTGCATCACACAAAGAATGGCGGCTTTCTAGCAGAACAATGAAATGGGGCACAAACAGGTTCCAGACACTGCTGGCTTGTGATCGTATTCTTCGTGGAAGTGTCTGCGCTACCTGGGAAACGCGGCATTGTCGGGGGGAGGGGACAGTACAGATGTCTAAAAAATTTATGCAGCTGGTACAGTGGGGATTGTAGTCACGCAGAAGGGGCCGGTAGGGCCGTTCTTCGAGAAACTGATAGATACAAAGGCAGGCAATACATTTCCTGTGAGATCTGAAATTCTCTGGGCCGTGACTATGAAAATTATTGCCTTCTTGGATGTGACGCCTTGTACTTGCTAATTCTAGGCCAACTTCCCTGAAGATGGAGGCAGCACGTTCCTCAGAGCCGCTGGTACCCATCTACCGAAGTACAAGCGTCACATCAGGGAAGATAGTAACCTTAATGAATTCTCTGCTTTTAAAGAACCCCAAAACCCATAACTGGATCCCATCTTCATCCAGCGCAGTCAGTTCACAACTAGGATTAAATTTTTTATATAATCTAAGCCGGCCATTAGTCTTCATCTAGTATCGAAGAGAATGGTGGAGCTATAACCCCACTCCCCCATACTTCTCTATGGCGTGGTACTTAATTAATTACGGCCAGGGACCCCATGCTTCTCTATGGCGTGGTACTTAATTACGGCCAGGGATAACTTTACATTTACCTCCAGCTGTACCTGAGTCTGTCACAAAGATTTCCGAACAGAAGGGCGCTTACTAATTCATTTTCCAAATATTTTGAGTAAGTACAGAGCTAAGGGGTTCCACATCCACTTCCCCGTACGCCTTCATAGCATAGTGCTTAATCAGTTAAGCACAGGAACAACTTTTACCTTTTTACCTTTTACAGAGCTAAGGAGAATATGCACCTAAATTAGAAGTGACGGGACGTAGAAGATAAATTTGTTATTATGCTTAACCATCACGCAAGGAAGACGAACGGGAGAAGGAGAGTGAAGGCATAGGTATTCTTAATCTCGGCTTTAGGTGTTGGTAAGTGGTAGCTTCAAGCTCATACTACTTTACAACAGGGGAAATAGCCTCAGGTGCGGTGTTTATTGGTTATGAGACTGGGTGGGTCCCACAACCAGTCTCGACTGGCAAAAAGAAAAGTACATATTGAGAGGTAGGATTTGCGGTTCTCAAAGCGGTGGTTATGAACTTCTATCTTCTAGGATATACAGCCGTGTGGTCTGTTGAAGGTCAACAGACTCTTAGGAGGAATATGTCGCCCCCAATTTCAGCAACCAACATGATGCAGGCAGCAAGCAGAGCTTGTTTCTTGCTTGGCTTACTCTTCAATGCTGACGATGCAGGCGACATGTTCTTCCGAAATGTCGCTTAATATTCAATATACTACACGGCACTATATTCCAGAAGACACAAATCTACATAATGAGGCATTTCACAATTTGTACTCTTTATGAGCCGGGATAGCGCAGTCGCTATAGCGACCGGCTACAGGCTGGACGACTGAGGGGTGAGAGTTAGAGTCCGGTTGGGGCAAAAATTTTCACTTCTCCATGTCGTCCAGACCGATTCCGGGGTCCACTCAGCCTCCTATCCAATGGGTACCGGGGGCTCTTTCCCTGGGGGTAAAGCGGCCGGGGCGTGAAGCCGACCACTCATCTCAAACTAGTACCAAGGTCAAGAAAATGTGGATCTATGCACCCACTCACCCATATGCCTTCATGGCGTAGTGCTTAATTAGTTAAGCACAGGGACAGCTTTACCTTTTACCTTACTTAAAAGCATACAGGTCACAAACTAATTAAAGTCTGTTGATCCCAAATACTATTTGTGTTTATTTAAAGCCACTGATTTCGAGTGGCTACAAACATATTATACTACAGAAGTTGCTATCCAACTGTGGTTTCACCGATGGATGTGTATAATGGCGATTTTTACATGTACCAATAGTATTTTCTGGCATACTCCCACCAGACGGACAATAATATGGTTAGCTTCACTCAAATTGTTGAATTTGAAGCTATCACAGCAATGATTATGAAAAAAGTTGTTTTCTGGGTTCCAACGACCGAAGTTTCACAAGACATATCACTGCTATCTTCAGGGTCGAAATCTAGGCGAAGCAAGATACCAGCTCAGCTTTTGGCCTACTTCTGCTGGTCTCTCGCTTGGCATACTCTTCGACCCTGAAGATGGAGGCGATGTTTCTCTGAAACATCGAGCTTTGTGTGAACTAAAGGGCATTACAACCCAGACAACAATACTCTTCATCATTCAAGCTGTTTCCTTTGGGGAAAAAGAAAATACTACACTGCAGTGTCTCTCTTCCAGTTCAGTGCTATGCTACATGAATAGCTGGAGTCACTCCAGTTTCTCTGATAAAGATTATGAGTCTTTAAACACTATATATAAAGGATATAAAGGAATACACATATATATGAAGGAATATTTGAATGAAGAAAATATAATTTTTATAAAAGTTCACATGTTCTGATTTTTCAGCAGAGGAGTAAACATAGTATCAATATTTGGGAACGCTGCAACAAGAGCAGAATGTGACTAACCGATTTGTATACATGGAACGAATAGTAATGCCTACACTATATGAATATGAGGCGGGACTGAAGATGATGCAATTAGTAAATAGCATTGAGCAACTCATTCCATTAAGACAGTTCATAGTTTATATTAGCATATAATGACTCATACATTTATGGTTGCTCTGACTGTACCTTCTGTGTAGTTAGCACGATGTTAGAAAGAGAAATGCAACTAACAGTGTTGCCAAATCACCAGTCATGCAATTGCACAACCAAGAGACAGAAATAACAAGGAGATGCCTACCTCATTTTTGTCAATCTCATCTCTCAATGCAATGGTTTCTTCATGTAATTTTTCTGCAAAAGGAATCAGCACTTGCTTTTTATTAATGACAAAAGCTAAAAGAACAAATCACACATGTACTTGAGTACCTGTTATGATACATGCAAATAAAGTTGTAGTTGAAGAATTTTCTACTCATAACAGTACTCATCAATAACTGCTTGCACATCTGATCACGATAAACTAAATCAAAACACCAGAATTAATTAAATCTGTAATGTAAAAAGTATGCTACAAAATAACCTTTGTTCCTTGATAGAATTACCAGATCTCTGTTATAAGTACAAAGCTTCCCTATGTTTCAGCTTTTACTGGCAATCCATATTTATTTTACTCAAACCATACCTAGCAAGATCTGCAGTTATTAAAAGGAATGTCCTTAAATGGCTTATAAGTTTGAGATTGGTGCATTAAAGTCTATTTTTAAAACGGATATCTGAATGATGTTTAGTCACTGCAGAAGTTCAATTAACCTTTAACTGTGCCTAACATAATACAGTAAAGGTATCCCTGTAACAGGCAGTGGAAGCCCATAGGGTTGTGAGACGTCGAGGCTCCCACATTTTCTAGACAGTCAGCTTAGAGATGGTGGTGAGACTGTCAGCCTTACACACCAGCCACCCTTTACCCCAGGAACATTCCTGGTACTCATTTCTGTTAGAGGCTGAGTCAATCCCAGGGCCATAGTGCAGATGGAAGGCTTAGGTCAATTGAAAAATCCAATGATCTCATCATGAATCAAAACTGCAACTTTCTGGCTTGTAGCATAGTGCCTCAACCAACTACGCTACCAGATCACCCCTAACATAATACAGCTCAGTAAAATTAAATGTTTCCTGCTGTACTTAACAATATTCCATCATGTGATAGTGACTAAACACAGTTCAGACTGCTAATTGCATTTAATGAATTCTAATTACTTTTATTTACAAATAAGGCATGTCACAATATTAAAATATAGGGCACACAATGGAATTTAAATTGAGTAACCTGACTGCTTCAGGATGCAGATAATTTAAATGCCACAACAGACTTCTGGTGCTGTCACATTTCTTTTAGGATCACATTATTAAGCAGTTTGTTCATATTTTCACTGTGTGTTTGCAGAAATAGCAAATCACTAGTTGCATGGAGACTTCCATTCGTTTGTACAATACAGAGAAACCAGAACAGATGGCATTTTGGCCACAAAAGGCAACCACGTTCAAAAGTTAAGAAAACTACACAGTAACTGTGGTGAAGATATACAAAGAGAACAAAAGGCTAACTGGTTAATTAGGTTGCTACAGTTGCCCCTCAACACAAGTCACGAATGCTATTAAGGCACAGGATTGAACTTGAAAATCTCTATATGTAATGCCTTTTTAAAATCTTGCCTCTTCCTGTGCACCATGTGACCTAGAAATAACAGCCATTTAAAATATCAACAGTCATGCATTTTCTTATATCAATTTGGATCCTCACATTCCCTGGTGAAGTATTACTTTTTTTTATTCCTAGTGGGGTGGGACTAAGTCCCTTGTACTGCGACCACTTCTGGTCTATTGTACCAGCCCCAGATGATAGGTGAGGGTGATTGTGGAGCAATTAGTGGAATGAAGATTGGCAGGGGAAACCAAAGTACTCGGAGAAAACCTGCCCCAGGGCTACTTTGTCCACCACAAATCTCACTCGACCAGACCCAGGATCGAATCCAGGCCGCCACAATGGGAAGCCAGCAACTAACCGCTTGAGCTATGGTGTGGCCAAAGTATGACATCATCACATGAAATCTGTCATCAAAGATGCATAAACAATGCATGTACTGTAGCCAGTCCAATACTAAGTACAGGCTGTGAGTCTTATGGGCTATTATTTCCATGGTACCACCTGTATATGAAAATGAATTTCCATTTCAGTTTTCCCACCTGTGCTGTTCTATGCTGTGCTGAAAATACATGAAGTAGCCACTTCCCTTAAAGTCGAGTTTCTCCCATTGTTACAGTTAAATGAATTATGAATGTTCCTAATATGTTGCTTAACTTCTGTAGGTAGAATACAGACAAAACTGCATGCCTCTCTAAATTCATGATAAGAAGCACAATTTCTTCTTTATTATGAAGATAAATTATTCCTGCTTCCTAGTAATAAATTCATGTTAGTTCTATGTAAGGGTAATAATTATGAGTTTATTGTGATGGCAAACATCTGGGAAATGAAAATGGAAAATATTAACTGTGGTCTCTTTTATTGATTTTATTTTACAACTAGCCAACAGAAAATTACTTCATCAAAAACTCATGAACTGAAATATATCATTTGTATACAGTATTTATCTAATTCACTACTGGACCTTAGTTTTCCTCAGGCACAAAAATAAATCAAAGCAATTTAAACTATTCAGAATGCTCAAAATGTGGTTAATAATTTGTGATTGCATTAAAAATATACATCCATCCTTACCAACATATGACTGTTTTTCCTTGTTAAGTTGCAGTCCCTGAGATTCCAAATCACGAATGATTGATTCTCCCATTCGAGAATTTTCCCATGTTCTGGAAAGACATTATCAATGTCAAACTGCAGCTTAGAAGTGGATCATCGATATTATAAGTCATCTGCCTAATCTGTATCATTTAGCTTTCTTCAGAGACAGCAACTGAGGCATAAAACTAGGCACAAGATTCAGTAAACATGGGAAATGCATTGTGCCTCTGAGTACCAACCAGTTGGCACAAGTACCCACTCCTCTCCACTTGAACCGTGTGTGAAGATTTGAAGATAATGATGATAATATCTTGATTTGCTGATATGTTTGTTGTTTTTGTATCAAGAATTTGGACAACAGTCATAATTGCCATGGGTGAACTTGTAAACATTTAATTGAGCTCTTCTGTTATAGAACACTTGACTTCACACATCCTGTTACTTTGTAAGACTGCAAAGACCAGGTACACTGAAATATGAGTGCACCAGGGGCGTAGGGTACATGGATGTGGTGGAAGCATTGCTTCCCTATAGAAAAGCAACCAAGAACATTTCTGGCAATTTTTCAATTTCAAAAAAATATTTCATATTTCAAAATATTAATTAATCTGAGAACATATATTACATATAATGAGAATATTGCAAGTTTTAATGTGTTACATAAACAATTTATCAGGATAGATCAGTTATTTTCTTCCAAAATGCAGGGAAATTTAAACTGCAACACGCGCGGAAGCAGCGGGTCTTTCGCTTCCACCCTCCCCTGGGTTAACTGGCTGACTCAATGTCAATGTTGTCTGTAAGTGAGCTATGCGTTATGGTATGCTACCAGCTTCGTGCTTCCAGCAATGTTGCCAGATGTAAGGCACAGTTTGCAGTAGAATAATCTGTGACCTTGCAGTTAAGCGTGCTTACTAGAAATTCGCAGAACCAGGATAGGTTGTCATCACTGGCTTTGATGAACATTGAAAAGTCCTTCCTAAACAAACTGCAGTCCAAACCCAGCTTTCTAGATGAGGTTATTGATCTGTTTGCCAAGAAAAACAGAAGAATCGAGCTGAATTATAAACAATAAAGTAAGCATTAATTATATTCCAGGTTCACAGCCCTGTCATTTGATGGCTATAAAATTGTGTTGATAATTATGTGTTATTTTAATATATTAGCTTAAATATAGAATACATATTAAACTATTAGCTGTTTTCTTTTAAATAGAAGATAGAAACTATAGGGTATGTAGAAAAAATTTATATACACGTATATAAAGTTGCTTCCCTGCTTTCGGTAGTCATGCTACGCCACTGGTATGCACATTTGCAGGGATAAGTGACATGAATCATGTTCCACAAAGATCATGGGAAATATTGCAGTGTAACAGTAAGTGAAGAAGTAACTGAACCACTGGACATAATTTATGTATAATCTGTCTCTATGTATGCCGTAAAACTGCTGAGTAATTGGTAATAGTTTAATTATGTATTCAGTTTAGTCTGTTGTAGTAAATTTTGTTCTTGGGAAACATTCTATAACTGTATTGTACTTTCAGACATTCTTTGAATGGGATGAACCTCCCTTTAATGTTCCTCATGTTAAGGTTTCCCCTAATTTAATGTTTACTTTCAATGATCCCAAGTCAATAATGTATGATCAATTTCCTGCATCCATGATTTTCCTGTCACTTGTCCCTTAAAGGAACCTTGCTATAATGTACTCTGACTTGTCCTTTACCATTCTGTCGGATCTATGGGATGCATCTACACCTATCTATCCAACTACAAGCATGGTCGCTGCTCTGTGAACATGACAATAAGAGAGAGCTCACACCAAGGGCAACTACAAATGGGCAAAAGACAATATGCTACCATCAATATGTGATACAGTATGATCTGTTATCTCAACACTATGGATATTAGAACATTCAACAGTGTGTCAAAATGTCAGTGAGTGAAATGGTTTTACGTGCTGCATTTGTAAAAAATGTGAACTTGATAAGAAAAGTTAAACACCTGTGGTGGGTGCACTCATTTTACATTAATAATGTTCGTCACAGTGCAGGCCTATAACTACTTCAAAGCTTTTATCAAATGAGCCTAAATAACTTCAACATTTAATTGTTCTTCTACATATTATTATTATCCATTGTGATACACTCTGTCTTGCATTTGGATGATACGGAAAGAACCTTGTTTAAAACAGTTGCCACAACAAGTAAGAGGAAACATGATCAAACACCAGAGCATAGAAGCTGCTTATAATATAAACTGTTTTTCTTTTGGATAATTCTGATTGGAAAATCACCATCAGTCCTGTGCAAAAGGCTTCATAGAAAAATGCATTTGGTTCCTTAGCAGTTGGTTGTCGTCTGTTGCTGGGGAATTTGTTGGCATAAGTTGGCAGAAGTAGTCAGACCTCTCCTCTCAAAGAAGAGGAGGCCCATTTCAGAACACATAAATGTCTTGAAATGAACAAAAATATGGTCATGGGGCCCAATACCAAGAATGACTGTGATGGCAAAGGCCAGCAGCAAATTACTGCTCTGCTCTACCTATTGCTTTGGTGCAAATCCTCCCTGAGTGGTACCATTACTGAAGAAGACAACCTTTCCACTGCCAGTCTGGGTCACCTGGGGTAAGATTCATGTGTAATATGTATATTAAACTGGGTAATTCTTGCTCCGTATTTCAAAATTATCACACATTATGCCATAAAACACATGTGAAATGTTGATATGTCTGATAATGTTCAGGTTCTGGGAAAGTATACTAATGGATAATATTTCACATTTTCATGGTGGTGAAGATTCATATAGTTATGACACTATACAGCACAGTACATTGTTACCCACCTACCCCACTACATGACATCATAACAATCAGACCACAATATGTATACTACTGGTTGCCCATCACTTTTGAGCAAATCCTCCCTAATTGGTACCACTACTGAACAAGCCAACTTTTACTCTTTCAATCTGTGTCACCTGGTCTCACATCTGTAATGGGTATGGGTATCCATCTTTTGACATTCTCTGCATAGTATACCATGATTCATGTGTAATATGTATATTAAACTGGGTAATTCTTGCTCCGTATTTCAAAATTATCACACATGGTGGTGAAGATTCATATAGTTATGACACTATACAGCACAGTACATTGTTACCCACCTACCCCACTACATGACATCATAACAATCAGACCACAATATGTATACTACTGGTTGCCCATCACTTTTGAGCAAATCCTCCCTAATTGGTACCACTACTGAACAAGCCAACTTTTACTCTTTCAATCTGTGTCACCTGGTCTCACATCTGTAATGGGTATGGGTATCCATCTTTTGACATTCTCTGCATAGTATACCATAGAAATGTGTTGAAAACTTGAGGTTATGCTCAACAATGTTCAGGTAGTGGGGAAATATACTAATGGATGAGGTTTGATGTTTTCATAATGGTGAAGATTCATGTTGTTACAACACAATGCAGTTTGATATTGTGATATTCACCTACTAGACTACATGATGTCATAACCTATAAGACCATCATATGTATACCAGTGGACATTGTACAGATAAGTACATCACTAACTTGTTCAGAAGTTATTAATTTACAATTCCTGCCATCTTCTCTATTCTGACAGACGAAATGAAAAGAAGTGTAGTGCCATGCACATTTCACAGAATATCTTGTTTCAATAACATATGAATTAAAACATGGAATGGAACCACAAACTTACATCCTTGCTGCTTCCTGAAGTACTTGTATCCATCGATCTTGGTCATATCGTGTCTCTGTTCCCAGAGCCACTGAACCCTATTAAAAGGAATCTTCACTTAATAGTACACTAACTCAGATCATTATAATCATAATCATTTGATACTAATCGGTGACCATATATTCACTTACATGTACAAAGCTGTCACTTGTGATTCTTATGACATAGTCCTGGCCTAGTTCAGTAGATGCCTGAATAATGCATCCTCCAACTGGAATTACGCCTTTTGGATGAATGTTGAAACAACCTTTCTTATCAAAAACTTTCTTTTCACTTTCTGAATAGTACAGAAGAAACCCCTCCTTGACAATGAAAAATCTAAACAAAAAGAAAAATTAAAGCTGCAATTTTCAATTTTTCTGCATTTCACACCTTTGTTGTAGAGTTTAAAATTCTTAGAATTCAGTATTAGTTGAGAAAAATGTTTGAATGAAGTTTTAAAAAGACTAATATTATTGATAATTTGCTGGATGAAATCCCAGTAACATAATAAAGACATATTTAGCGTTTCATTTTCATATATTAAATAAGATCTGGTCCTGTCAGGCACAGTAGGATGCAGATCATATTCTGCACTTCCAGAACTGTTAGCGATTCTAAAATGATGACTGCACACCAAGAGATTGCGCGTGCATGAGAACAAATTATTAATTAGCAAGGGTCTGAAAAAATAAGAAAATCGCATAATGAGGAAACTCACAATTTGTATTGTTTGCATAGTAGTGTTAGGTCAATCAAGTCTAGAGGAATGGATGGGTAGACAAAGGTTATTGCATGCAAAAAGACAATTCTAAATATGCAGAGATGGGAAAATATTTAAATCGATATTACTGGAATAGGTTATGGAAGCATAAACTGAATTGAATTCGTACTGAGTAGGCCCACTACTGTGACATCTGTGATGGAACTCCTTCTGTAACTTCACACTGGAGAACGCGTTGTTTTTTTTTTGCAATTTCTTGGTAATTTTTTACCTTAGAGTAGTATATTTTTCCCATCGCAGTCCTTATATTATGTTTACCTTTTAGACCATTTATTTGAATGTGGCGCAAATGATTTCTTGAATAATACACCACTGATCTGAACTTTGGTGAAAACACTAAACGATTCGTCGTGGCTGTCACTCATTTTTATGCTTATAATTCACAATATTACACCAGTATGTGCAAATTTTATTCTAAAAAAACTATTATGCATATTGACTTTATGTTTAAATAGGTTCGCAAAAATATTAGACTGCCATACATTGGCATCCATTACCGGAACTTGAGAAACGGAAGTAAAATTGTGTGTTTTCTTCCATATTTATGACGTCAAAACCATCAACCTCTTCACGCACATGAAGGTGGGTATTCATCCGCTAACCTATTTGTTGCTTACGTGTAGTAATTTAATTCACACTTTTTCTCTACATTCTCCTATGGCCTCAGAAAATGAAACAATAAGAGATAACATGGAATAACTGTATCATGTGCTGCATCTTTCATTATATGAAGCGCTATAATTGAAATAATTAGGTCCTTTTTTCCTTGAGTCAGGCGTAGGAACACTGAACCGTGGATACCGATGGATATATATATAGGGGTTTCGCCAGAAGCTGTTTATTGAGCATTTGCCTGGTGATAAAGGTGGATGTTAGTGGTAATCTGATATGAGCTGCTAGAAGCTGACAAAGTCATTGTATGAAGAAATCTGCAAGCGTGGAACAGGTGTGTTTTAGTAGAGTACCAGCCCAACTTAACGCGTAGAGTGTTTGTTTTGGTGTTGTAAGTACTGTATACTACAAGCTGCGATGGGTGATATACGTGGCACCACCACCCGTTTTCAAGGTCAGGACAGACTAGTGGACTGGATAACTAAGGTGAGAGTCAAGAAGAGGTCTCTTACAAGACACAGGAAGGAAAATTTGAGGGTAGATGCCATTTTAACCAGTGCACTAATGAAAGCAGAAACTCTACTTAGGATGAAACAGCAGCAGAGATTCCAGCGATGGCAACGTCTGAAGACGGAAGTGTGTAAAGCTGATTGTACTAACGTGTGCAGTGCCACTTCAAATGAGAGAGTATCAAATCAGTGGGATGAAAAGACATGTGAAGAAATAAACAGTTTGGATAGGTTCATGTGTCTGTTGAATGAAGTGAAGACCCCTGTACAAAGATGAACCATGTTTTGTTTAGTATAATTTGAATAGGTTCATGTGTCTGCTGAACGAAGAACCCTCTACAAAGATGAACCATGTTCTCTTTAGTATGAAGTGATTTATTATTTGTGATATTATTCAGGTATTTTTTCATTCCAGTCTCCCCATTTGAGAAGGCATGTCTGCCAGTCGTCGACATTTGGGCTCAGGTGACAATCCATGACGAGTGACCTTTCCCAGAGGATCATCCATTTGGTTTGTAATTGATGGGTTAGGAAATATATTACACATTCCTTCAAAGTGTATGATTCATATTGAATTTGATGATTTTTTAAAATCCAATATGTGATTCATATTGAATATAATGCCTTTAAGTGCTGCTTGCTGTTAATTTTTAACAGTTTATTGTAGTGATTATAAAATGCAATATTGTAGCCCAGTTTCATGTTAGAGGAAGTGTTTCGTTGAAAGAAATCTGTTTGCTATGAATGTTGTATTTATGCCCAAGAAAGTTTCATTTGTGTCAGTTGATGTAATTTATGTGAATGGCTTATAAGAATAGGGTTGTATGCTTTCCTGACAAACTGACTAAGAAAGCAAGCCTTTTTAGATGTTTTTTTCAATCTTTTTGTTGGTAATAAAATGTGAGAAGCCTGTAATCATATGTTTGATATTTTATTGTTAATAACCACATGCCTTTTCCTTGTTACTAAGGACGATTGGGGGGAGTTAGCGGTACAAATTGCACTACTTGACAAAATGTACATGCTGCAGTGAACTGAAATGAGATGTTTTGCTGGAAGCTGTTTCTAAAGAATCTCCACTGCGTATTGGTGCCTGCACGTGTTATTCTGGCCTCTGGGTTTCTGCTAGAGACAACTGTTAACAAAGAGCTGTCCAGTGGAGCATGACATGTAGCTGTTCTCCGAGTACAATTAATACTGTGGAATCAGCTGGAGCGCCATGTTGGATGTGATGAGGGAGTACATACATTCATGTAACAAACTTGAGATGGGTTTACTTTGCAGGAAAGTCTGTCTGGTGGTAACCTTTGCACCTGCAGTGTAGAGAATTGGCATTGTAACCTGTGCATGTAAGCTTACAGCAAGGTTAATAGTGTGATTTTTTAACACTTGGTTGTTCTTCATGCAGAGTTTTAGTTTGTTGGACATTATTTTCTCAGGTCAGTTCCTCGTACTGAGTTTGTTGGACGTTTTCTCAGGTCGATTCCTGGCATTCGCATGACCTGCATTGATAAGTTTCCTTGGGTTCATTCCCGGTACTAGCACTCGACCATCATTTGCATCACTAGCACATGGAATTGGTATGCTCGTGAGAGTCTGTTGTATTGGAATAATGAGACTTTTGTGGTGTAAAGTGATTGGAGAGGTGGTAAGGGCAGTTGGAATATGTAAGGAAGACAGTATGCCTCTTGTAAGTAAGAACAGAAGGAGCACTCACTAGACTTTTCATTCCTTTAAGTGGTAACTGGATAATATTAGCAAAACACAGAAATGTGCCTTAATGTATGGTACAGCCTTGAGTAATAAATGGAACTAGGTCATTGGTGGCTACATGTAAGCGTGTGTCCTGAAAGATGAGATTTGCTACTCATTTCACAAATATAAAGTTAAGTGTGGAACGTAACCACATTGGAGTTTTGTATGGTCAGAGGTAATCTGAAATTGCATCGTTTAGCTGAAGTTCGTGTTCATACACGATTAAAATGGAGCCATTCTATTCTTGCTTGCAGCATTTAACAATTCTATTTTTGAATGTGGTAAATTTAGTAGTCTGGTTAATACCCAGTACCCAATGGTATACAAACTTCAGCTGTGTTTGGATAGCAGTTTGAAAACAATTTAATTGGTGTATATGTTGCAAGCAATTTCAGAGTGGCTTTGCTGTTGCAGGAAGGAAAATGTTTGCTTAGTATTTGCCAGGATGTTGGAGTGAGAGGAGTTGGCGTGGCCTTTGCTTAGTATTTGCCAGGATGTTGGAGTGAGAGGAGTTGGCGTGGCCTTTGCTTAGTATTTGCCAGGATGTTGGAGTGAGAGGAGTTGGCGTGGCCTTTGCTTAGTATTTGCCAGGATGTTGGAGTGAGAGGAGTTGGCGTGGCCTTGGAGGGAAGGCAAGGCAAGCAGTCTCCTTTTGGCAGATGTGCTGAGTGGAACTTCGTTTACAAGTAACAACTGATTGCAGTTACAATACAGTGTTAAATACCTTGACTATCCAAAAGGGAATCAGAATTATATGGATCTGCAGCTTATGTTTTGCCTGATTTAGAAGTTGATTACTTGCTTATCGGTTTGAAGTTTAGAGTCTGGGCAGGATTGCCGCATTTTTGTGGTTGGCGGTTTTTCTTTTTTTTGACAGGTCTTAAGTATGCTGACAACCCCAATATAATGGTCTGACAGTGCTGCTGGTCAGGTATTGGGACAGTAGGAGATAATGTTGAGCAAGGTGTACAGGTTCCCGGTGTCACGTGTAATGGCTGTGAAAGGAGTTGAATGTTAGAGAAAGTGTACAGTTGCAACGTAACCGGAATATGAGGGACATAATTCTAATAGCAGATCAAGAGGATGCATTGTAGACTGGTATTAAGGTAACTGAACTGTCTTGTTTTGGTAAGGAGATGCCACAACTTTGCACAGACAGAAGTAGTAGTGATTCAGCTAAATCTGAAGTATGCTCACTATTTCAGTCCGATATGCATTTGAGATAACAAAATCCTGTCCAATAGAAAATTGTGTGCATATTGAATGAGGATACAGAGTTAATTAGGTCAATGCAGTAATACGTTTCTTAGTGAAAATTTTTATATTTGCGCTTTGTTAAGCAAGAGATGTTTGCTGTCATTACAGAGATGGAATTTAAATTTTCATGTAAGGTTGCTACAAGCTGTGTTGCATACGTGAGATGATTTTAATTTTGAAGTGTGGATGAATTGTTGGTTGCTGGGAGGGTGGGGTGTGGGCAGAACAGTTTTTTCTCTTCATGCAGATGTTAACACCTGGTGAATACAGACATTGAGCCTCTTGAGCATCAACATTGCCTGGGGATGGAAGTTTGCTTGCAGCCTTGACTGGATTGTAGAGTTACTGCTGGTCACAGGAACGGTTATAGTGGAAGGGGTTACCAGTGGAGTTTGCCATTAGTAGCTTCGCATGTTCAGCAAAAGGTTTTCGTACGTAAGTTTGGAAGGTTATGTTTTTCACGAGGTAGTATGTAATGTCTACCTGGACAGTGGGATGACTGGCTGTTGCAGGAAACTAAAGATAGAACTTGATGCAATGGCACTTAGATAATTAACCACATATTAAAATTTAGTTTCTATTGACACAACTTTTTTACTCTTTATGTTTTGAAGATCGAGGAAGTAATATTTTGTCTGAGTGTTCAAAGTTCTTGTATTTTTGTGGAAGGGAGTTTTTGTTTTGTACTCTTAGAGCTCAACAGAGGTGTAAGCAACAGCCGTTTGTGAAGATTGATGGTGGTCGTTCTTATCTGGGCCAAGTATGTGTGCAATTTTAACGAGATCCTTCATTTTGGAAGACTTAGAACCCACTTGAAGCAGTATATTCCATGCCATTTTTACGGGACGCTGCGTGGTGAAGTCTCGCGCCTACTGGAAGCGGTATATTTCTGCATGAGGTTTATTAGAGATACTTTTCTTAATATGTATGAGTCTTAATAATTGCCAGCAATTGTAATTCATTATTTATGACGATGTTTTTTCTAGGAGGGGCCGTACTTGAATTGTAGCATGTACAGATATCTCCCTAACTCCTATGAATTTCATGGTCATGAAATTTTATGCAGATTGTTGTTTTAGGGAACACACTTTGACTTTAGCAAATGGATGTATTCAAAAGGGGCAGAATTTGTTGTATCAGAGGTGGAGTGATATTGATAACTAAGGCATTGAAACCAGGACTAAGGGGGGGATATCTGTACTGTTACCATGGTGAATGCTTTGCTTGCATATTGCCTGTTTTCAGTTTGGCCATTCTGGAAGGAAAAAAGCACTTTTACAGTAGAGAATGCCGTTTTATAGCTGTGTTAGATGCAGTGAGATGAGGTCATTTGGGACAAGTTGTTGGAAAAAGGGGGGGCAATTAATTATGGTTCTGTAATGTCCCGAGACTTTTTAATGTTGTAAGATAGTGATTAACTTGGCAACAGAATGCAAGAAATTAGTGGTATGATTTTATATTTGTACATCGTGAGTAGGGATTGCATAGTTGGTAGAGTGACTGCATAGGTGCTGGACAATTGATGGGTTGGAGTTTGAATCCTGGTAGGGTCAAGAATTTTCAGTTCTCCAGTTGTTCAGGCGGGCTCTGTGGCCCACTCAGCCGTCTATACAATGGGTACCAGAGGCTCTCTCCCGAGGTTAAAGCGGCCAGGTCATGAAGCTGACTACTCATGTCCAACTAGTGCCAAGTTTTAGAAAATGTGGAGCTATACATCCATTCCTCCCATACATCTTCATGACAGTGGTTAATTCGTTGAGCACAGGGACAACTTTATATTTGTACATTATGCCACAAGATGTTTCTTCAGACTGTTTTGTAGTTGTTGGATGTTTTTTCTCAGATGCCCAAGTGCTCTGGTCATTCTGCACAAAAAAAGAAACAGGAACACTTTTTGTAATGATTTTAGTAGCCAAGCAGACAAATGAACCTTGCATGATGGTGATGCTAGACTGGAAACAGGAAGTGTGTCTCGTAAGTAAGAAATGAAATTGAGATTTAGCAGTTGGAGTCGGAAAGTGAATTTATCTGACCTCGCGTACAGGAATTTATAGCATACTGCAGTTAACACAGAAATGGTTATTGGAACTTGTGAAGTTTGTGTTCCTGAGGCTTATGTGGTGGAGTTGATTGATGATGGTTGGATTGTTTCTAAGTTTAGGCAATTATGGTCAACTTTGAGTTACATGAAAGGCATACAGATCAGAATTTTGATGGTAACTGTAGCAGTTAAATGTTCATTAAGGTTTTTGAAATCAGGATGAACACCACTTCCTGCTTGTTGTGTAACTGAAGTGGCTGCTTGTAGGGTGTAGTATGTTTGCTTAGTACTTGCCAGGTTGTGGACAAGAGCGCACTTCTGGCGGCGGCGGTGGCGGAGTGGAAAGTGGCTGACTGCGTGCCAGGTACTAGCTGAACGATGTAGTTTCAGGTTAAGATTATATTTTTAAAATAGTTTGGATTTGAAATTCAATACCATGGTAATTCTGAATGAATACTTGTAAAATTCATTTCTCATGCAAGATCAGTGTGAAGGACCATGTTTTGGAAAAGATATACAATAACTTCGCATAGGTAGTGCCTCTAAAATCTGAAGTATTCTGTTTATTTCAATGTGATACCGCTTGAGACGCATCGTCATTCTGATAGGAAATTGCATGCAGTAACGAATGCCCATTCGATATTTAATCGGGTCATTTTGTGGAGGTTTGTTGGGCCTTGTGAAGCAAAAGGATGTTTCTATCATTACAGAAATGGAAAGTAAATTTTAATCTAAGATTTGCTACATGCTCTCTTAATGGATATATATAGTTTTTAATTTTGGAGTTAGAATGGGTGGGTGGGGTGAGAGCAGAACAGGTCTTTGTCTTCATGCAGATCCTGGCTTCGTGGTGGACACAGGCGTTCAGCCGTTTGAACCTGAACAGTGGCTTGGGGTGGAAATTCCCCTCGAAGCCTTGATTGGATTGTAGACTTGGTGCTGGTCACTTGAAGTGGTAAAGTGGAATTTGATGTTAGCAGCGTCTCTTCTTTGGCAGTGAGTTTACGTAATGTAAGTTTGCTTAGATTTTTTTTTCTAGTCAAAGCATTGAACATTTGCACCCGACAGTGGGATGGCATGCTGTTAATGTGAAAGTAAAGGCACTTTCGATATTAACCAAGTGCTAAATTTTGGTTATTGATACATTAATTTTTTTCAAAGTCAGTATTATGAAGATAGTACTTGATTTAGTAATTGGTTTTATATTCTGTTAAGTTTCCACAAGTGCTGGCTTGTGTGGAAGGAAAGCTGTGTTTTTTTATACTTTTAGAGCTCGTCCGTGATGTAAGCAGTGGTCCTTGGTGAAGATAATGGTAATCGTTCCTATCTTGCCCAAGCATCCATGCAATTTTTCTCAGATGCTAAATGGTGGAAGTTTATGTGCCTACTTGGAGGAGTCCGTTTGTATGTGAGGTTATTAGAGAAACTTTTCTTAATATGTTGGAGTCTTACTAATTGGCATCATTTGTAATTCATTATTTGTTACAATGTTGAACTTACTTTGAGGGGGGTAATTGAGTTTTATCATGTACAGGTATCCCACAAAAATGGGAATTTCATGTCTTGAAGGCTTCATAAAATTAGTTGTCTTGCAAATGGTTTTATTAAAAAAGGGCAAAAATTATTGTATTCAGGTTTGCAGGCAGCAGTTTTGATTATAAAGCAATGAAATTAGGTCTTTGTGAGATATCTGTACTTGAATAATAATAATAATACTGTGTACTTGGGCTGCATATTGCCTATATTCAGTTTTGCCATTCTGCAGGAGAGACGAAGCTCTTGTACAATAGAGAATGCCATTGTATATTCCTGATACATTCAGTTCCTGTATTCTGGAGGACCATTTTTTGGGAAGTTGTTTTGAAAGACTTCATATCAGGGAGTACCTATTTTATTTAGACTTTTTAATTAGACTTGTTTAAAATTATGAATATCTGTACTATGATGATGCTCCTCGATGCTATGCCTGCATATCGCCTTTTTTCAGTTTTGCCATTCTACAAGAAAGGTGACCCTGTTGTGCAATAGAGAATGATTTATGACAGTGATATGTTCAGAGAGAGAGAGTAGCTTCTGTTTGAGGCGGTAGTCTGGAGGTCATTTTCTTGCTGGAAAGACCATCAGGGAGTACTTTTTCATAATATTGCATGTCATTAATTACAGTTATTAAAACTGTGGATGGGGTTTGACATAAATGTCAGCATTGTAACGTGGTTATTGCCCTGCAACAAAATCCGAGAAATTCATGGTATGATCTCATATTTGTAAATTATACCATGACATTGGAAGGCTGTCATGTAGTAGTTTTATGCTGTTTTCTTAGGTGTCCTGGTACTCTTGTCATTCTGTGCAAAAAAAGAATCATGTTTTGTAATGGATGAAGTTCACAAGAATACAAATTCCAAATTTGCACAATGGACACTAGAGACTGGAAATGAGACGTGTCTGTCGTAAGTAACAAATTAAAATTGAGAGATTAATGTGGTATTTAAGCAAATTCTGTTCAACTTCGAGCTAACGTGAGAGAGAAGTTAGAATTTTGATTGTAACTTTAGCAGTTAACCCGTTGCCGTGGTTCGTCGTGTATGTTTCGTCAGGGATTTAAATCGTCTGGGGGGGTTCGACGTGTATGTTTCGTTCAGCTGCACACCTATGTTATAACGCCCATAATAATTGATGGTTTTGCTGTAGATTGTTAGATTTTTCGCTGGCCTGTTGTCAGTAGAACAGAGTATAAATAAGACACGACTTTATCTGTGCCAAGNGGGGTTCATATTATAAGGTAAGGTTATAAAACCACCTTTTAAGATCATTTTAGTGAAAGTTCCATGTTCCTATCTCATAGAATTTAAGAACAATGATGAATAAATAATTTTCGAGCAAAATTTAAATGGCCGGCTGAATATATTACCGCAGGAGCCGCGGCCGCGGAATTTAAATGACCACGTCAAAGGGTTAATGCTCATAGGAACTTTTGAAAGTGGGATGAACATACCTGTCCCACTTGATGTGTACCTGAAGTGGGTGGAAGGACATAGTGGTTTGCTTAGTATTTGTCAGGTTGTGGACAAGAATGCAGTTTTGGTGTTTGGCGTGGAAAGTGGCAGACTGCGTGCCGGGCACTTGCTGAATGGACCAAACTTCAGGTTAAGAAGTTCAAATTTTTAATATAGTTTGGATTCAGTATGTAATATATTGTAATAGCAGTGCAGTTCATTATCAGTGTTTTGATTCAGGTTAAGAATTGAAGATCTAATTAATCTTGAATTCAGCTTTTAAGTATCCTGACCATCCCAAATGGCTGTCCGAGAATTACTAGCTGGGGTGTGTAGCGTGTTAACACTTGAAAATAGAAGCCGAATTCAGTGTCTTTGGTTGTAGTTGCGGTTTCACAGTTGATGTTCTTGCCAGGTGCACTCCACATACTGACAACACCATTGTGACAATGTTGCTGTTGGGCGAGGTGTGAAGACCACAGAGCTGTTGTGAATACCACTGTAAAGAAGTTGTGTTATAGATTATGCAGAGCGTGTAATTCCAATTCCAATTGCAGATGAAGAGGATGCCCTGTAGATAGGTTTTCAGATCATGGGGATCCACCATGTTATGGTAAGGAATTGCTATGTCTTCACACAGGTAGCAGCTGTTGCTGTGACGCAGCTGAATCTGTCTTTTGCTGTTTATGTCAATCTGAAGCATGCAGTTATTCTGACTGATAATTGTGTGCAGTACTCGAACATAACAATATTAAGTACGTGAAACAATAGTTTCATATTTGAAGGTCACTTTGCTTTCTTAAGCAAGAGATGTCTGCTGTCATTACAGAGATGGAAACTAAATTTTCATGTAAGGTTTGGTACATGCTGTGTTAGTCCATATATTAGATGATTTTAATTTTGAAGTGTGTGTGTGAATTATTGGTTACTGGGAGGGTGGGGTTTGTGGGCAGAACAATTTTTTTTTTCTCTTCATGCAGATGTTAACGCCTGGTGAATACAGACATTGAGCCCCTTGAGTATCAGCATTGCCTGGGGATGGAAGTTCGCTTGCAGCCTTGACTGGATTGTAGAATTACTGCTGGTCACAGGAACGGTTATAGTGGAAGGGGTTACCAGTGGAGTTTGCCGTTAGTAGCTTCGCATGTTCAGCAAAAGGTTTTCGTACGTAAGTTTGGAAGGTTATGTTTTTCACGAGGTAGTATGTAATGTCTACCTGGACAGTGGGATGACTGGCTGTTGCAGGAAACTAAAGATAGAACTTGATGCAATGGCACTTCGACAATTAACCACATATTAAAATTTAGTTCTTATTGACACAACTTTTTTACCCTATGTTTTGAAGATCGTTCAAGGAAGTAATATTTTGTCTGAGTGTTCAAAG